AACAGTCATCCTCCAATGGGAGAGTTGGGGGTTCAATTCCACCAGCAGTCACATGCCAAAGTGTCCCTGAGCAAGACACTGAACCCCTCATTACCTCTGATGTGTGTCCCATTGGTGTATGAATGTGAATGCACTGATTATTCTTTATACAGATATAGTAGAGTGCTGTATGAATGGGTAACATTTTTTTGCCATATAAGTCGCACCTTTTTGCATAAATTTGCAAGTCCTGTGTCTTATACACCAAAGTGACTAATATTTGTTTTTTTCCCATATTTATAACCCAATTTTTGGCTGACAACTGACGATTTCATTCATTCTGTCATGGAAAATATAGAACGCTACCATTTTCAGCCACTAGAGGGCCCTCAAGCAATATTGCAAGCCAAGTGTCTCGTTAATAGGTAAAAGTGGCTATTAATGAGACACTTGTCTTGCCATAGCAAGCCGCCTTCGTCTCACTCTGGAACTCCTGGAGTAAACGTCAAACGCCTGGGCGGCGTGTCGAAATGCAGCTGATTTGACTGTTAAAGTGCATTTATTAAGGAAAAGTTCAACTGAGACACACCTTTACTATAACGCTGAGCAAACCAGTAACTGTTTTTATGGGCTTATCTTGTTAAATTTCGAAGAAATGCACAGCAAGTCGTCCCTGTGTGCGCTCCAATAGCCAAAAACCGATTTTTGAAATGCAGCTGATTTGACCATCAAAGTGCATTCATTAAGGAAAAGTTAAACTGAGACAAGCCTTTGCTATAATTTCGAGCAACCAAATAATTGTTTTTAAGTGTTAATCTTGTTAAATTCTTGTTGAAGTCCTCCCGTGCACGCTCCCGCGGCTGCCATTGGGCACCCAATTGATTGTTGGCACAACACCGGACCATGTTTCATTACGGTCAGTGCTGATGCATAATAGATGCGACATATACGGCGAAGCGACTTATTTATGGTTTTGTCCACTTTATTAGACATATTTGAATTGATGCAACGTGTACAGTGGCAAGTACGGTAAATGAGGGCACAGACTGCAGTGTAAAGCTCTCTGAGTATCTTGACAAGATAGAAAGGTGCTATATAAGAAGAGCCCATTTATTTTAATATGTCTCATTTCCCCCCTCAGTATCATGACAGTTTAGTAAAGTAACTGTGAGCTTATGGGAGTATTTGAAAATTTTCTGACAAAATAAAAACAACATGTCGAAGGATTTTTAGACTTTTTCTGAAAAATACCACGTTTATTGACTGCACCAAAATAAATTAATAAATTAAACACAGACTAAAATAAATGTGTCCACAAAAGACAACACGGGGGTTAAACTCAGAATCAAGACGTTGCTTCTTACTGACAGTGGACTGAAGTTTGAACAGTGTTTAAAATCCTGCATTTATTCCAGTCATCGGGTGAAACGTGAGGATGCTGCTAATAAGACCTGCCAGCATTAATCTGCCGAGTGGAAACAAAGAGTGGAGCATGTGGCTCACTGTGCTCGGTGTGTGAGTGAGGAAGAAGTCAGCCCGAAGAATAAAATTATAATCCGGCCCTCATGGGAAGCTGGAATGAACTGTGGTCCATGTTTAGGTCGTCTGAGCCTCCCAACCACATCTGAAAACATTATTCTTAGAAGACGGCTCATTATCTTTAGGACAAAATGAGAATTGTTTGGTTGAAAACAAAAAACAATAATTTGAAGAAGTGGACCAGCCAGAACCACAGTCTGAGCTGGTGTTTTACATCAGGTCGTGTTCAGCTGCAGCCGGACGACCAACGTGAGGCTGCGAGTCTTCACTTCCCCTCTCGGGGGTCACACATGGTTTCTGCTTGCTTTAAAATAAACATTGTCACATGCTGTCCTCTGCTGGGTCGTCAACAGGATCACACCTGATCGAGTAATCCCATCCTGGGACACTTTCATCCGTGGGATTTACCCGTGAGGTCAGAGTGGGGTTTGTGCTGGAGATAATACCAGATCATTTGAGCGGATGCTATTATCACCCTCCACCAACACTCTCCATGTTTCTGCCTGGATCTGTAAGTGTGTTTGTGTGTTAGCAAAAAATCTCATGTCCCACTGGATAGATTTGGATGAAAACACATAAACGCCTGTAAGTCAGTCAGTAGTGAGATTTCAAACATGATGTCAGGGTTTGGAGCTGCAGGAAGTAAAGCTTCAGCTCATCATGTATGGAGACATACGGCGCTTTGCCACTGTCTCATCTCTCCTGGGCTCTGTGCAACTCTGCACCAGTTAAGGGCCTGCCCACTGTCGGTGTCCACCTCAACTCAGCTCCGTTTATGGGACCTCCTTGTTTGAGGATCCAAGCAAACTGCTCCGAGGGGACGATTTTGACGTAAGCAGACAGCAGCCATTGATTGAGCTACATCACTGGATGACCCGCCCAGTTAAACTCCAAATTACATCTGAACCTCCACTTCCTTCTTATGTTGACGGACGGCGCCACAAGAAATTAGCTTATTTACAGAAAGGTATCAGAAACGATGGTGCAGCATGGCTGGACTTACAAGCAGTGCTGAGAAAAGCTAACAAGATTCAAGTCCGATTAAAGGTCGATTAAGGACCATTCTTTGAGTCAATTTTTAAATCAGGGTGTTGGGGTTTCCCCTTAACAAAAATTAAAAGGCACACATATTTAAAAGTTTCAATTCAAAGCGGTTCAATAAATAAATATTATCACTAATTTATTAATTAGTGCAGCAAAATGTTTAGAACATGGAAATGTTTTTATTTTTTTCAAAGCACAGGAGCATTTTTCTTTTGTTCATCAGGCTGCTTGTTCGTTTGTTTTGCCAGTTCTTTATTTTTCTGTGTACTTTTTCAGTCTAACTACGCAGCACTCCATATTTTGTGTTAGTTTATATGAAAATGTTCAAATTATTCAAGAGATGGGTTTTATGACTTGTGGTTTTTGTAACATTAATACTTTTCAACATGTTTAACTTTATTTATAAATATGTTGCCCCTAGAAATACACTGAGATCTTTCCATTTCCTTCAAAAACATTGTTGTGCTTCAGGGTACTGGTTCTGTTTTTCTCTTTTTATGCTATTGTAAGATTTTAACCAGCTGTTTTCTTCTTTTAGTTTGTTCAACTATTCTGATCCTTTTAGCTTGTGTGCTGCCTTTCATCAGACTTAAACTGTCATTTAACAGATTTCAGCAGTTATTCAACAGATTTCAGCTGTCATTCAGCAGATTTTAGCTGTCATTTAACATATTTCAGCATTTGTTCAGCAGATGTGAGCAGTCATTCTGCTGATTTCACCTGTCATTAAGCACGTTTCAGCTGTAATTCAGCAGATTTTAGCAGTCATTCAGCTGATTTCAGGAGTCATTCAGCAGACTGCTGCTGTCATTTAGGGGATTTTAGCAGTCATTTAACATATTTCAGCAGTCATTCAGCAGACTTCAGCTGTCATTCAGCAGACTTCTTCTGTCATTTAAGAGATTTCAGCAATTATTTAACATATTTCAGCATTTATTCAGCAGACGTAAGCAGTCATTCTGCTGATTTCACCTGTCATTAAGCACGTTTCAGCTGTAATTCAGCAGATTTTAGCAATTTGGCTGATTTTAGCAGTCATTCAGCAGACTTCATGTGTCATTTTACAGATTTCAGCAGTCATTTAACAGATTTTAGCAGTCATTCAGCAGACTTCATGTGTCATTTTACAGATTTCAGCAGTCATTCAGCAGATTTCAGCAGTCATTCAGCAGATTTCAGCAGTCATTCAGCAGATTTCAGCAGTTATTCAGCAGATTTCAGCAATGATTCAGCAGATTTCAGCAATGATTCAGCAGATTTCAGCAGTGATTCAGCAGATTTCAGCAGTCATTCAGCAGATTTCAGCAGTCATTCAGCAGATTTCAGCAGTCATTTAACATATTTCAGCAGTCATTCAGCAGATTTCAGCAATGATTCAGCAGATTTCAGCAGTCATTCAGCAGATTTCAGCAGTCATTCAGCAGATTTCAGCAGTCATTTAACAGATTTCAGCAGTCATTCAGCAGATTTCAGCAATGATTCAGCAGATTTCAGCAGTTATTCAGCAGATTTCAGCAGTGATTCAGCAGATTTCAGCAGTCATTCAGCACTAAGCATTCACATTTCTTTCCACAGAGCATGTAATTTCTCTAGTTAGAAAAGCCTTCAAAGTGAGGATGCTTCTCTCACATTTGATGAACATACAGTATCTGTAGAGTTGCTGTGACCAACATAAGAAAAAAACAAAACGTTGAACACTGACATGAACTCCTCAGGAAATGTAAAATTAGAGCAGTTTGAAAAACTAGTCAGAAAAGACTAAATGTCCCCAAATCAAATATTCACTTTGAAATGAGTTCAATAAAATACAGCTGCTGTAATAATCAGCAATATTTTCACTTTGACTCTTCAGTCTGCAAATATTTAAATAAACTCTCACCTCACACAGAGCATGATTAAGCATGGAGTGTGTGTGTATGTGCACCTGTTAGCAAAATATCTAATGAACCCCTGAACGTACGTTAAGGAAACTGTCAGAAAGTAATCATTAGATGTACGTCTACAGCTGGTTATTTTAGGCAGCCCAGTTCAAGATGGCCACCACAGCTATTTGATAGTCGCAAACACAAAAATTGCTATAACATATAGAATTGTGTGTGGTGGTAGCTGAGCATTCCCTTCCATCAATTCTCCGAGCATGCACAACATTGTTGCTTCAAACATTAGCACGACCTGTACGTTACAGACACATGGACATGAGGAGCAGAGAAATCATTTGATCCTTGAACATGGATGAAAACCTTCTTGTGTTATTTAGGACAAACAACGTTTTCATCGGTGTGCGTGTTGTGAACCTGTGAAGCAGCAGGTTTACTCGTGTATGTGTTGAATCATGGGGCCGGCTGCACTGATGTCACTCCTGTGGTATGCGCTCGCTTTACTCAGCTGTAAACTGACTAACCCCCCCTCCCCCCACATCTGCTCGTATTTCCAGGGTGTGAGCGGAATGTCCGTGGATGAGAAGCCTGAAGACCCCATGTATGTGTATGAGTCGACGGTTCATTGTACCAACATCCTCCTCTGTCTCAATGACCAGCGGAAGCAGGATATCCTGTGCGATGTGACGGTCCTGGTGGAGGGAAAAGAGTTCCGAGGGCACCGGGCTGTACTGGCCGCCTGCAGCGAGTACTTCCTCCAGGCGCTGGTGGGCCAAGTGGAGAATGGACTGGTTGTTAGCCTTCCTGAAGAGGTAGGTGGATAAAAAAAAAACAAGACTTAACACATGGTGCACGTGGACTGAACCTTTAGTTTCAGCGTCGGGTTAGACAGAGTCTGGGGACTACGGTGCAGTGCAGCAAGTCTCCAAGTCTGGATCCAGACCCAGCCCACATGTTGCATTAAAGATGCATTGGTACAGTGCAGTGAAGACTGGCGTGGCTCCTTTAAGGCTTGGTTTATAGTCCATGCAAAATGTTGAAACCGTGTTTTTACCAAGGTCTTCTCTGAGCTGCATCTGTTGGAGACAATAGATTTGAAATAGTAAGAAGAAGAAGAAAAGACAAACTCTCATTAAGCGTTTGTGACCAGTTTTTTTAAATCGCAGCTTGTTTTGTGTGCACGACTTGTAAAACGTTTCTAGGTGATGCACAGTATTTGTTGTTCAGCTCCACCCGTGTCAAACCCACCTCACTCAGCATGCTCTGTACCCACTAGAGCAGGCGAAGCAGCTTCGGTTAGTCTGTGTCCTAATCAGAAGCTAAATATACAGTAATTTAGTTCAGTTTATTTATGTAGCACCAAGTCACAACAGAATTCATCTCAGGGCGCTGAACAGAAAACGCAGCAGAGAAAAAGTTATGTCGTCGTCATATGATGAGAATGTACGGTATTTATTTTTTTGAGGTTTAAGCAGCTCACTGAAGATAAACGGTGACTTTTCTCACACCAGGTTAGTCTGTGTTTACTGTATTTATACTGAAACTGTCAATTCTCACCGTAACATTCATTCATTCAACCTTTATTTATGCATGTTAGTCTCATTGAGTCACAAGTACTCATTTACAAGAGAGACCTGTTTTAGACAAACCTTAAGATGATCTTAGTCTCAAAGTCTGGCATGAAAGATGCCAATCAATATGGACTACATACTATTTGGAGTTGCTGTGGCTGAGTTGTTAGAGCAGTTGTCCTTCAGTGCAACAGTTGGGGGTTTGATTCTACCAGTAGTCACATGCCAAAGTGTCTCTGGGCAAGACACTGAACCCCTCGTTGCCTCCGATGTGTGTTCCATCGGTGTATGAATGTGATAAAGCTCTGAATAATCTTTGTATAGATATAGTAGAGTGCTGTATGAATGGGTACAGACTGTATTGTAAAGCACTTTGAGTATCTTGATAAGACAGAGGAGCTATATAAGTACAGACCGTTTACTATTTTATGAAACTAGTTTGTTTTTAGTAGAATCCAGAGTTTCTGCTGGAGAAAAGCACCAGCGTCCAGTGACTCAGAAAGGAAAAGCAGATAAAGTAAGCAGTGGTTGGATAGAATCCAGAACATAGAACGACTCTACTGTGAGAGTACCTGATAGAACAGGACCAGTCTGTTCATCTCTTAAAGGGAAACATGAGGGCTGTTGTTACATTTTGGAATCAACTGCTTTGAGTTTAACGATGATACAGACGGACAGACGAGCGGACGTGTAAGAAACACCAAGAATAATTCTACAAGCAGATCCCAGTTACAGAAATGTTTTAATTTGATCAGTGAAGCGCCGCAAGAATAAAGGAGGAATCTGTGGAAAAGTGCGTAATAGAATTTGTAGGACTGTGATTTCCAATTAACACGTGTTATGTGCCACTGCCGGTGTCAGCAGCACGTAGCACCTAGCAGTGAGAGCGACACCACCTCTGTCTCAGCGCTCGCTGAAACTGGGAGAACGCTCCTCCTCTGATGCATCTGCAGCATCACTTCAACAAAAGTGTAAAACGATATTTTGATCACTAAACAACAAAGCATCAATACAATTTAAAGAACAGGCACGTCTACAAATCTAAAGGAAACCTATCTATTAAATAAATTTAGTAATTATGGAAGTCCTCTCGACCCAGGTATAAAACCTGTTTGTTCAGGCGTCTGAAGCATCTGTTTGAAGACATAAGGTTGAACAGACCCCGTCCTGAGGGGGTGGGGTCAGAGAAAAAATTCCTCACCTTACTAACACCATCATCCAGGGAGGCAGCTGTGCTCATCACTCTCTGCTGCCAAACAGCTGGTATATACATTCATACAATAAACTTAAATAGAGCGGAGCGTAAAGCTCATGTTATTACTGCATTTTTCGCCGTCCGCGTCGCACCAATAAGTCGCATCAGTCCATATTTGTCTAAAAAAGTGAAAAAAATCCATAAATAAGTCGCATCAGTCCATATTTGTCTAAAAAAGTGAAAAAAATCCATAAATAAGTCGCTTCGCCGTATACGTCGCATGTATTATGCGTCACCGCTGATGCATTGCGTTTGTTACGTGTCACCGCTGACAACCTGGAAATGTTGACCGGTGTTGTGCCAAAAACAAATGGCGACTGCGGGAGCATGCACAGGAGGACTTTAACAAGATTAACACTTAAAAACAGCTGAATTTAAAAAATAGTTTGCTGCTTCTGTGCTCCATGAACGCGCAGAGGAAGAGAAAAGGAAGGAGGAACGCGGCTCGTTTCTCCAAAAATTAACAAGAAAAGCACCTAAACAATTGTTTTTTTGCTCGAAATTATAGCAAAGGTGTGTCTCACTCTAACATGTGCTTAATAAATGCATTTTAATGGTCAAATTATCTGCATTTCACCGAGGCGGTGCAGCTGGATTGACGGTTGGTCCAAACAGCAAGCAGAACCAAGGTGGGGAGGCTATGGCAGGCCGATTGAGTCATTAAAAGCTGGTGAAGATTCTCAGTCATCCAGGACATGGAAAATTCAAAAAAGTTCAAGAAAAAACAATAAAGTATAAAATAAAGTATGATAAATAAAGTCCAATTGTTTTTGTCTTGAACATTTTTGAATTTGTCATTATAGCTACATTTACCTATTTATTACATGATGCAACAGCATGCCATACAACTATTACTACTCTGCTGCCATCAAGTGGCTGAAAGTGGTATTGCTCAAATTTTTTTTTTTCAGTCAATGAATGGAAATGGTCATATCTCAGCCAAAAATTGGTTTATAAATATGGGAAAAATCCATAACTATGTTGCTTCGGCCTATAAGTCGCAGGGCATGTAAATTATGCAAAAAACTGCGACTTGTACAAAGAAAAATACGGTACAACAAATAATCAGTCCCTCGAGTTTTGTGGACTTTTTTGGGATTCTTGTAACCTGAAATTTTGTGGCAGTTTTTTTTTTTTTAATTTGCAATCCAATTTGCGATGGTTTGAAGCTTTTTCTTGTATAAAACATTGCAAAATGGACAAATGAGTTTAATAAACTATCTGCCAGTAAACTTTTCAAAGTAAGGCCCAGGAACAGTAATAATGTTTAAAATGGATTTGCAACCTGCCATGGTGTTCTCTACATTGCAGCTGTGTGCCCCCTGCCTCTAATAAATACCAAAGAGCAGTGCTGCTTGTCCCTATTTCAGCATGGAGGAGCAAACCAACAACATCCTCGGTCCAGAGGAATGTAAGTTTGGGGACAACTGACACTGCATGCATGGTGCTTGCAGTTGAGTCTGGTTTACGGGTTGGCAGATAAACATAATTATGTTTTTTTTTTTTTTTTTTGCCCACTCCTTTTCTTTACACGTTTACCAAACAACACACACCTCAAATTACAACACCCTGACTCTGCACATATGACAGTTTGGGTCAAAATACAATCATTTTAACGTGACGATAATATACTGTAGTTAATTTCCTATACGGCAACCGTGCATGGAACAGGTCTCTCTTGTAAATGAGTCCCCATGACTCAATGAGACTAACCTGTATAAATAAAGGTTGAATGGATGGAAAGAAAACTACAGTGGATCCTTGTAAACTGGCTTTTTTTTTTTATTATTCACCCCAATAAATAAAAAATAACCACTAAAGTTTCCAACAGTCGTTCTCGTGTTAACAGCTCCTTAAACTTGATGAAACCCTGTTAGAGCGCCACATGCAGGCCTGGCAGTTACAGCAGCCTTTTGCATCGTTTTTAATGTGGGTGAAAATAGAAAATAAAAATGGTGACATAGAATATTAAAGAAAATTAAAAGCATAAAATAAAAAGATTGTTTTGTAAAGATTAAACATTCTTTGGTGATTAAGGTTTTAGTTAAAGTAAAAAAAATGCCTGCAATGGATTTGTTTTTTTTTCTCTAATTACAAAGTCACTACAAGGTGTGATTTCTCTGTACTCACAGCACATTGTTTTTGGTTTCAGTTATTTATTTAGCTTAGCAATTTTGTTCCAAAACCGGAAGTTGTTTTAGCTTGTCACATCTCCTATATAAAACACTGTAGAAACAAAAATTCATGTGTGTCACCCTAAGAGTCTTCTGCTCGTCACATGTGAAAAATGTTTAAGGTCTGACTGATAGTTTTCATACATATGACAGGGTGCCGAGGGAGGAGGTGTGCTATTGCATGAGGAAATCTGGAGTGGATGAGAAGTTTGTTAAACTGGTACGATATATGAGGACAGTGGTGAGATGTGCTGTAGGAGTGACAGATAACTTCAAGGTGGAGGTGGGAGTGCATCAAGGATCGGCTCTGAGCCCCTTCTTGTTTGCTCTGGTGATGGACCGACTAAAAGATGAGGTCAGGCAGGAATCCCCATGGATTCTGATGTTTGCAGATGACATCGTGATCTGTAGTGAGAACAGGAAACAGGTGAGGACAGAGGATGCAGAGGACAGAGTGAGATGGAGGACGACTCACCCCTGAAGAGGGAAAATCTGAAAGAAGAAGATTGTTTTCATGCAGCGACTGCTTGAGGCTTACTTTTCAGTCTGTTGCTCTGTACTTCTCATTAACTTGTCAGGGAGTGACAGACACAGGTATGCGGTTACCATGGTGACCATGGTGAGCCACTGGCAACTTCATTAGCATTTATGTTGTTGTTTCTCTATTTCCTTCACATTTAAAAACATCAAATGAAGCATTTTGTGAGCAGAGATTATTAAATATCAAGTGGAAGCTGCCTGAAACAATCGTGTGAGGTTTGATTTGACAGGAGTTTGGTAAACTGTTGCTTGTTTTATGCACTTTATAATTT